TAGATGGGTCCGCTTCATGCTAACTCTTAATCACATGAATCTTTCATCCCTGGAATGAGATACATGTGAGAGTTTCTACGACTTTTGGAGTCTACTTCCCTGGAGTATCAGCCGTATTTATAAATTATGACAAACTTATAATTTATCATGAATAAACTTCGCTTGGCTGAAGCGTTAGATTCCCCCCAAATTAAATAAGACTGCAAAGAAAACACTACAAACCATGGTGTAAAATGTATATGAAAAATATTTTAGGTAGTCACTTTTAAGCTGAAAATTTTCTGTTTTAAAAAAAGGAGGGTTGGATCTGATAATAATGATTTGAGTGGTGTTAAAACTCATATTTCTTTTGGTTCACTTACTTTTTCATAGGGCAATATGGCAGTCAAGATCAAATGTAGAAAGAAACCATTAATACGGAAAGTACAGGAGAACGGCAAGCGATGAGGGGTCTGTGTCCATCCTGCTCTGCCTGTGCGTGCCCTGGTCTAGCTCAGAAGTCTTCACTGCACCCTAACACAGTGCAGGCTGTCGCTCTGACATTGGGGAGGGGCTTGTCATGGAGGCTGTCCTCACCACCTCTGTTATGGGGCCTGATACAGCACATCACATGCATGCAGTGGCTCCGCCGCCCCTCAGTTATTTCTGTGACCCCCTCATATTCCCGGGATCTGTGCCCTTTGCCTTGTCCTCATTTGTAAGGATCCAGACAAGTGTCAGACTCTTGGAATGCTATGCGGTAGTGACCTTGAGTCTCAAACTTGGCTCGAGAAAGTAGGGAGCTTGAATCTAGTGTTGAAATTACACGTGGGGCTCTGTAACTATAGCTGTCAAATTCTCGCTGATGGAAAAGAAGCCCTAGCCCTTTGTCAGAGACATCTGTCTTCTGATTTGGGTCAAGTTTTCTAGTCTAGAAGTAGCTAATGCACGTAAAAGACTGCATCTTCTTTTTTTTTTTTTTTTTTTTTTTTTTTTTTTTTTCTGTTGTTGTTGCCATTACATTTGGAGCATGGGGCAACTGAGTGTTCAGTTCTTCTTGGTGTTTAGTTTCTGATGTTTTTCCTAAAGCTTTGCCACTCTAATTGTCACAGTAGAACACTTTCAGAAACAAAACCACACATTTCTTGGCAAGGATGCTGGGATCAAGATGGTGGGTGTTTAGTGCTTGATGGATGAATGAGTGAGAAGAGGGAGTAATTCGGAACCAGGAAGCACCCACTCCATGGCTGGTCCTGGACCCCTTTGGGGGGAACCAGTCTTTAATTACATCTGCAACTCATTAATGCTTCTTGGAGCCTCTTTCCAGATCAGCTTCCCCACAGGCCTCCTGTGGAGCAGTAGAGATTCCAGATGGTTCTCTCCATATGCCAGGGCTCATTCTCTCAAGTAGGCTACATTGGTCATTGACAGAGGGGGACGAGAGGACCGCGGCCAAGTGGGGACAAGGTGGAGCGCGCTGTGCCACAGTTAAATTAGAAGTGTCCATGGTTAGTGTTCCCTAAGTGGTCTATAATGATGCCTCTGAAATATGTTGCGTGACTCCACAGAGCTATGCTACTTCTAGAAAAAAAATCAAACTTTAATTCCACCTACATTTTATTGGAAATAACTCATATTATTGCAGCATGTAGCCTCCTGATACCAATTCCCACCTAGAAGAAAGAGCTCACCTCCACTGCTGCCACCACAGCTCAGAACTGGTCAGTCTGTGCTGGCAGCTGGTCTGCTCTGGGGACTCCATTGGCCTGGATTCTTTTGCTTGTGTTATTGTAATCCTGTTGCGACTACAAGGAGAATCCCCCTGCTAAACATGTTATAGGACTTATATTTATTCAACTTTGGCAGAACTGTGCAATAACAGACACACTGGTAGGCTGCAATTTGGAGCAGCTGGTGATGAAGACGGGAGCAGCCTTCATAGGACCGAAGGCTGCGGAGTCATTCCAACACTGTTGCGCTGTGCTCACTTTGTTTACCTCTTTGTCTGATGGCGGAGTGCATGCCCTCCACCTTGCCAGGTTCGGCATGTCCCGGGAAAGAGGAAGAGAAACAAAAAAGGTGAATAGATGAATCGAGGGCATTTAGAGATGAAAGGTCCGGCATCAAAATGAATGAGATTGATGCTTCCGCTCCACCTTCATCCTGCTACTTTTCCCTGAGAGCCACTGGACTATATGGGCCCGTGTATGTTTTGTTGGCTGTTCAAGACTACGAGAGGCTGGATAGTATTCTGCACTCTGAGAACACAGAAATGGGGGTGACCGGCAGCGGTGTCTGTCCTTACGCAGGTCTGACGGTTAATCTCTTAACTGCTGGGAAATTTGTGCTGTAGTTGGAGAGGGTAGAGCTATTAGAAAGAAAAAAAAAGCTTTTCCAGGAGGGGTATGTGATAAGGACCAGAGGGAGAAATCCAAACATTCATATTTAAGCTTAGAAGTGTTTGCACAGTGTTTACTGCTGTGTGTGTGAGACACTGTGTGCAGGGGCCACATGGGTGACAGAGAGCATGTATTGCATCAATTCTATTATTTTGTGCAACCAAGTTTAGTAGCTCATAATTGGTGAAATGGGCTATAGTTTCGGATAGAAAATGCCCACTTGTTTGTTTATTTACTTACGTATTTTTGGTGGTACCAGGGATCGAACTCAGGACCTTGCACTTGCTAGGCAAGCACTTGTACCACTGAGCTATCTCCCCAGCCCCGAAGTCCACTTTTATAAAGCTCTTGTTTTTAAAAGTGTTTGCTTTACATGGCTTTTATCTTGAAACCAAAATCCCACATGTGAGCACCAAATCTAGAACATTCTCTTGCTATGTCACGCTTTTGTCGGAACGTTTTGAAAAGCACCGGAGGTAAGACTGAGATGCGTATTATTTATTTAGTCTGCTCATCCATTATCAGTCAATAACGAGTTCTTAAATTTAAAGTACGTAGGAGACTAACTCAACAGATGGGTACAACATTGATTTAGTGTCTTTATGTTACACATGTGGGGGACTCCAAAAAAGTCAGCAGAGACGTGATGTGGGGAAAATGGTAAATCAGTGCACACCAGTGTGGAAGTGTCTGGGACACAGTGTGTCTCCAGGAGTACATGCTGGCTGTAATCATCATTATTTTACATTTCCTCAAACATGCGACTTGGGACAGCTCATGCGGCTCTCTCAATAATTCGTCAACATTGTCCCTACCCAAGGAGACCAGAAAAAAGATTACCAGGAAGAAAAAGTAAACAGCCTCCTTGCCTAATACTCGGAGAGAAAAAGGTCATTATACTGACCACCTGCTTAGCGGGAGTTAGTGTGTCGCACACAGTAATGTATGTGTGTGATTTAAAGAATGTATTTTGTGTGCTGAAGTATTATGAAGGTGTCACTGGAGTGTGAAGAATGAGTTGCACTTCTGTCTCTGTCTGTCTTTCTCTGTGTGTCCGTGTGTGTGTCTGTGTGTCTGTCTGTCTCTCCTTCCCTCCCAGTTGGACACAGAGCAGTTGTTCTCAAAGTCTGGTCTCGGTACAGTGTCATTAGCACCACCCACTGTCCATTAGGATGTAAGCTACAGTTCACCTCTGATGATGAGCCATTCCCAGGATCCTCCCTGGCTACACCCAGGCCTCTGCCTGCATCTGATTGGCTGTCACTGATGGTGACAGAAAGAGGCTGGAAACTAGACTCTCACTGAATCCAAGAGGCAAATTCTGGTCCCAGGGTTTCTGTGGCAGGATTCATGGTGATTTCTATAACTAGGGAAGCAGGCAAGGGCTAAAAAGACAATTGTGTAAGAAATTGATTTCTTGGGCTGGAGAGATAGCTCAGTGGTCTAAGCATCTGCCTGACAAGCATAAGGACTGGAGTCTGATTCCTGGTATTGCGTGTCCTACTGGCCCCAGAAGCACGGGCACAGCATGTGGGCTCCTGAAACCAGGCACAGTGGTGAACTCCTGTAATCCCAGGCTGGGGAGGCTGAGATAGGAGGATTGCTATGAGCCCACACTGTGTAGTGATACCCTGTATCAAGTAAATAGTTTTTAAAAAGTTAATTTTCTTGGACATGTCCTTTAGAACAGGAGGGCACGCTAATTCCTAGAATGAGAAATGAGATTATGTTAAGAAGAGAGCCTCAGAAATCATGGCATATGCCAGTGAAGATTGTAGCTTTAAAGTTAAGGAGAAACACTTACTTGATGTCTTTAATTTATGTCAAGTAACCCCTAAGCTTCAGAAAGTAGCACTTAATACATTGGCATAGATGAACTATTCGCTGTTTTAGTTGAGAAGTTGTATTTATATATTACTTTATTGTTAATTTCAGACAAAAGCTATGATTATTTCCCTTCAGATATATGGAAATGGCTTCTCTGAAAGGAGAGGTGAAGAATTCTGTCTTTAGGTTGCTAATGAGCTGTATTAGCCAAAAAACGGGCAGCAGAGCATGCGGTGAGGCGTGGGGCCCAGAGCGCCCTTTCCTTGCCTTGTGTAGGGTGAGCTAGAGAATTTGACAGTTTAGTAGTACTATATCGCTATTAATTAGTGCAGTCTACTAAGTCATTTCACCCTTCCCACACCCTATGAAGAAAATGCTTTTATTTCTACTTCACAGAAGAGATAACTTAGGTAGAGTTGTTAGTCTACACATGTATTTAGTAGCAGGGCTGAGATTTACATCCAAATAATCTATCTTTATGGAATGAGATTAGTGCCACAATGAAGGAAAGGGACAAAGGGTGGGGAGCTCAGAGGGCTGTAGGCTTGCAGCATGAGTCAAACCTTCTGGCCCCAACATTTGTTGTGTGAAGCAATGACAATACTTACTAATCAAGGTCTTTTAAATAAGACTTTTCCGCTGACAGGTTATGTGTCTTTCCCGGTGCCGCAGGCCCTGGCATAGGCTGCAGTGTCAGTAGCTCCTGAATTCCTGGAAGACCCCGGAAAAACCACCAAAGAGAGAAGGTGATTCTTGTTTTAGGTATACAACTGAGCAATATCCTTTCCTTTGCAGACAAGACTGTCCTCGTGGACACCGATCTGCCAGTCCTCAAGGGCCTTTACGTTCTGGGGACTCTAGAGTTCCCTGTGGACAGGAGCAATGTTCTGAGCGTGGCGTGCCTGGTCATTGCAGGAGGGGAGCTGAAAGCGGGTGAGTGACGCAACCAGGATTCCAAGCACAAAGGCAGGGTTCTGGGCTGGAAGGGCAGCATTCGATCCGGGGGGTCCACTCTTTAGCAGAGGCAGGGAGGGTGCAGGCAGGCAGGGAGCTTAGCAGAGGTGGGTGGAGGTGGCTTCTACTGCTCACCTTATTTTTGAGCCTCCAAAGGCTGCTAGCGCTAGCAAAGGGGCTAGAAAACAGTAAGTGCTGGGAGGCAGAGGTTGTCCGGTGAGGCAGCAAAAGGTGCTCCCGAGGCCAAGGATGTGTAAGCTGGACTGTGTGTGGAGTGGTGTATTGACCAGACCTGGCATGGTGGCCTACTGCCATTAAAGAACAACGACCAAAGAACAACTTCAGCAAAACAGCAAAACAAAAAACTGAGGTGTTGTAAGTAGACTATCTGGTTGGAAGTATTGTAGGCAATAAGTGTGAATGTTGGAGAGGTGTATGTCTGGCTCCCAAAGGGACTGTCTTCCAATGTAGGAAGGCATTGTACTTTGCCTGAAATGGAAAAGATTAAAAGAAGAATTCTCAGAAACAATAATGCATTGTCCCGGAGAAAGAAACCTCTGATGAGAGGGAGATCATTAGATGTCGTTGTCCGCTTTCCTCTCCGTTTTAGTATCTCTGGTAGGACAGCATGTGGTGCTTAACTATTTGCACGAAGCTTGCATGATTATCAAAAGATTCCTGGAGTATTATGGCCAACCTCTTCCTGAAAACTTGCAGTGAGAGCAAAATTTAAAACTTTTGAGGCAGTTTTGCTTCCACTGATTAAAATCTCATTGGAATTCTCCTCTTACTAATCAAATCTCCCTTTAGTTTCTGCAGCTTTAGGTTGAGCCTTCCAAGACAAGTAGAAAGCCCTCTCTCTATCGCTTTCTAGCCACACTACCTTGAATGTTGTTTTTTTCACATGTTACATTATAATTCTTATTTTTTAAGAAATGTCTCAGAGCTATTTACTACCGTTTTCGAATTTTATATTTCCAGTATACTATATACAACTAGAATTTTTAGAAACTTATACAGAAAAATATAAGTATTCATATTTCTAAATGTAAATATAATCACAATTAATATTTTGTTATTATTCATACTTATTGCCTACAATAGTTCCAACCATAGTTAGTATTTGTTATTATAGTTTGTTTTACTTCAAAATAATTTTCCTACACATATTCACACACACACACACACACACACACACACACACACACTTTAGAGCATAGAGTCCACAGTATGACAATCTTTGGAGAGTATATGGACGATGTAAGAATCTCTCAAATCCATTAAAGACACAATTTTAATAGTTTCACTTTTTTATAATACATCGATGTAGGTATATCATGATCATTTAACCATTCCTCTCTCGTCAAATGTCTAGATTATTTCAGATTCCATCTGTGTAACCCACTCACCATGTCCATCCTAGAAACTGTCCCTGTTTCAATCTTCCTTACCTTGGGATAGACTTTTATAAGTGGAGTTAATGGGCCAGGGATAGGAACATACTTTCCAGGACTTTTTTTTTTTAAACACTGTGAATTTTATTCTTATGTTGCCAGCATCATTATAGGTAAGTAAATAAATAAATCTTTGAAAACAACTTCCCTGAAATTCATTATTTTTTAAAAATAATTTTATTGAGAAACAAATAGCAATGAGACAGTTTCAAAACCAATTACTAGCACAGTTTCAATACTTAATACATTGCATATTGTTGTCTTAGTGGTTATTCATTGCACAAGACACAGACATGATATCCTGTCCACAAACACTATTAGAACAAATCTCTCTATTCAATGATCCAAGAGAATGCAGCTGTGTATCTATCCTAACTATTTTGAACATGCAGATACAAAATAGTAATTCATTTGTATCTCCCTTTTTGTTTAGTTTTGCCAGAGAAGGATATTCCATTGTCATTTAAATATTGTAGGTGCCTGAATTCAGCAAAATATTCCAATATAGTCCTGTAGTCCATAATATTAGTGGGTTTTCTGTAAGACTGACAATGACAGAAGTTATTGACTTGGTCAGGGGGATGGTTTAGTGGAACAAATGCTTGCCTGGCAAGTGAAAGGGCCTGAGTTCAATCCCTGGTTCTGCCAAAAAAAGAAAAAAGAAAAAAAAAAAGAAGTTGTTGGATTGAGCCTTTTACAGCTCAGCATATTAATATGGCTTTACTTTTTATACTTTGTTTTATACTTTGATGCTGGATGGTTAAGATCAAGATAAAGCAAGACCTATATAGCAAGAAATGTAACTTTTGTATCTGACAAGGTCAGTCAAATACCCTCAGGATTTACCCTGAAACCCTGTACCGCAGTTTGTAGAACCTTTGTCATTGGTTTGTCAGTAAACACATCTTTGTTCTAATTTCTCTGAAATTAAAAAGTCAAGGGGAAAGATAGATTCTCTGTGGGGCCTACCTATTCCGACCAGCACAGGATTTAAGTCAGATAACTTGGGACCAAACCCACATAAGCACTCACTTTCTGTTTGATCTCAAACAAGTCATCTTAGGTTCTTTATCTACAGCAAGGCCAGATAACTCCGGAACCCCCTTCAGAGGTATCTTACAATCATTAAATGCAACAGCTCATGTTAAATGCTTGGCATATGGCAAATATATAATAAATGTAAATTTATGAGCTGGGATCCAATAAAATAGATGTCACACAACTTGGACAATTGGAGGAGATTTGAGGTAAAAGAACTATACCTAAGGCTAGTAAGGCAGACTATCCCTAGCACCCCTTGCAGTAAAGGAGAGAGCGAAAGCAGCTGTTACTGAATCCAGAGATGGGGTAGAAAGTGATGAGGACAGATGGTCGCTAGAGAATGGATGCCGTTGTGTGGCTAGGACTTAGTCAACTGTGGGGTGACCTCTGTGGTGAATACCCTGTCCTCTCTCTGGCCTCCCACTACCACATGGTCGCACTTGACTGGACATCTGAGGAAGAGAGCCACCATCTTGGAGTGCATGTGGACCAGAGAATGGTGGGGCAGCCAGCAGGGCAGAGGAGCCCAGGGTGTGGGAAGGAAGGCGGCAGCAGGACGCGTTGGCTCCCAGCCACGTGCACAGATGCAGCTCTCTTACGAGTACCGGCCAGGACTCAGTGGATGTTTTGGTCATGTCAGGCTGTCAGGCCTGCCAACTACATTGTCAGCTCAAATTCTTCCTGTTCTGTGTAAGCCTTTACTTTGTCGCTCTATGTTTCACACTTGTGTGGGGTTTATTTCCTCTCGGGATTCAGGTGAACTTAGTGTGCTACTTATTTCATCATCTGATTATTTCAGTATATCTGTGCATACTCGGAAAATGCTTTTAGATGTTGGCCTTTCCCGCCTGTTAGTCCTTTTTATTCAGTTGTTTAATATTCTGTAAGATCCTCTCCTGATTATTTTCTAGAAATACTTAATGAAACTGGCCCCTGTTTTGTTACTAGAAAACTTATTTCAGGTTGGCATCTTTCACTGCTAATTTTGATCTTTTAAAAAAGTTTATTTTTTGGGTTTCTTTTTTTGGGATCCCTTATTACAGAGTGTTTAAATTGAATTCTAAAAGTCTGGACCTTTGAGAGGGAAAAAACCCCCACAATTTTCCAGTTTTGCTTTATGCATTTCAAACCTTGTTTTTAAATTTCTCTACTTCTGACTATATTTTACCCATCGTTAGACAACAGTAGATCCTTTTTCTTTGTGTTCTATCCATGTTTTCCAAGCCTAGAGCTTGCTTACTGGAACCCATCTGCCCAATGCTATGTGCGTTATGCCCGAAGGAAGGCTTTCAACCCATCTGTCCAATTTTACCACACCCTACAGAAATCCCAACATGAAATAGATAATGTGACTAGTTAGTAAACAAACTTAATAGATGTGGACGCTGGCGTGGAGTGCTGCCAGATAGTGTCTGCTATCTGATGCCATTTGATCCAAGTCCTGAAAAAGCAGACTGTACTTCTAGGTGGTCCTGCTTCTGAGGTGACTGGTGCTAGCAAGAGCTGTCAGTTGACTGCTAGCAGAGTGGAATCATAGGCTGCTACAATTTCAAGGAAACCCAAGATCCAAGCTTTGCTTACAGGGCAACGTTGAATAACAAATGCCAAACTCAATTTTGTTCTTTGTTCAGGGCTTGTCTCATTAGTCTGGTAGAGCACTAGAGAGAAGCGTGGGCATCTCAACTGCATGTTGCCCCTTGCCCTGTGATCACTGTGTGCCTCCCTGTGCCAAGTGCCCTGGAGATAGCAGGGGTGCAAAATCTCAGACTGGGATGCCTGGTCCGAGAGAGGAAGGCGATAAGAGTAGAGACACAAAGGTAAAAAAGCCATGGGATAAGTCACATCTTTTAACCAGGAGAAGGTTTGAAGGTGAAGGAAGACATCTGAAAAGGCATGGATTTGTAGATCAGCATGACATTTTTCAAAAAATTGTAAATATACGTTATGTGTGCCCCGGAATGGTAGTGGCAGATGAAGTATCTTTGCCCTACCAGCCCTACTCATAAAAACAGTAGGTAGATACTGGATAATTTTCTGCAAGAATGTTACATGCCTATATGAAAGGAACAGTTAATGTTAATTTTTTTTTTTTTGGATCAATTTTACCTGGTGATTCGAACAACTACTTTGAAGATAACAGCATATGATATGACAGCCATTGTTGATTTCCTACCATCTTGTTTTGAAACTGTATACTTTTTAATGTTTCTTTTTCTTTTTTATTCTCTTTAAAATAAAAAAAGAATGTTACATGCTTAGAGCTGTAGAGATCACTCCTGGTCACTGGAGGAGAATGTTATTAAGGGGCACAGTGAAAAGGGACAAAACTGCACATGTGTTTCAGGAAAGAGATCAGAACCAATCAAATTAAGCTAATAGAATTAATGAGGGAAGAATCAATTAGAATGATATTAATATTTAAAAAATCACTAAAATGAGCTGGGGATATAGCTCAGTGGCACAGCACCCGCCTGGCAAACACAA